AGACTGTAAATATATATTATAATTTTTATATCTAAATTGATTGGCCGTATCAATCGAGACAGAGTTGATTCTTGGACTTGTACTGTTGTCCAACAACACCATGACGCAGACAATGAGAGAGAGAGAGGAGAGAGAGACTGACCACAACATTGCCAGCACCTGATGGGAACCTTAGAGGTTGGCTAATAGTGTAATTTCCACCTTGAAGATCAATAACAACACCTCCCAGGTCAGTGATTCCGGCCAGCAATTCAAGCTCGGATTTCAGTTGAAAAGCCTCCTCCACCGCTTTGAGTAGGGCATCTGTGCTGTCCTCTTCTCCAGTCGGGTCTGCCCCGTACCCGATTGGGTAAAACACCCTCCCATTCTAATTAACAATACATAACACCACACATTAACTAACTAATTAAACTTAATTTTAAAACCAATTAAAATAAATAAATAAAACAAGTGAAATGAACAACGTCTATATATATCTCATACCACTGTGACATTTGAAGCTTGAGCCAGTGAAAAGGACAGCTTGGAATGATTGAATGCTGACAGCATTTGTTGCCTGCAAGAAGAACATTTAGCTTCTTCTACCAAGAAGAAGAAGAAGAAGAAGAAGAAGAAACACAATGCTGCTGATGGTATGGGCCTCATTCTCTTTCAACTGCACTTTGCTCTTTCAAAAACAGAGAAGGCTGCTGTATATGCTGCTCTCCCCTGTTTCTTTGGCCTCCTTTCAGAGAGAGAGAGAGAGAGAGAGAGGATATAAAATTTGGTTGGGGGTGTTTTGGGGTCTTGATATTTATATATGATTGTGGCTTTTAGTTTTGAGCCTAACAAAAGAATTATATATATATATTTTTTTAAAGAAGGTATATTTTAGATAAAAGAATAAGGTGAAAAGAAGAAAGGAAAGGAACAAAATTTCGGTCTCCCTTTCGGTTATTAGTTTTATGGTTGTTAATTATCTGTCGTCGTAAGCCTTTATTTATTATATAATATTGTTGTTGTCGTTAAAATTTATGTTATGTTATTATTACTATTATCACCATTTGTTTGGTTGGTTAAATTGCTAGCAACCTTTGAAAGCAAGAAATATGATGGAACTTTCATTAACCAAAACAAAAAAAAACAATAAATGATACTTTATTATCAATGGATGAATGGAAGAAAGAAGAGAAGTTAGGAATTTAAAATGAAAAATTACCTTATAAATGAACTGTTAAAGTTCTAGCACATGGGGTGGCACCACCTTGGAAAAGTGGATTCACGTAAGAGACAATCTTGAGACAACCTAATAAATTACTCCCTCCTTCCTCTCCCTAGCTAGTG